TTTATGAATAACAGGAACATAAAAGAGAGTATTTGCAGGGTAACCTTATAATAAAGCAAGGTTATATGCTCTTTGATATTAAATGTAAAATGATTTATCATCTTAACATAAATGTGAGTTTGTTTTGTGGGGTTTTTTTTTGTTTGGCTTTTTTTGCTGGTAGTGGGGACTGTTGTGTTGCTTTTGTTTGTAACCGCTGTTTTGCAATCTTCATGAAGCAATATACAATATTTATTTTTAAAGATCTGTTTATGCACACACAAATAAGTCTTACTTTCCCTTATTCGAACTTTGAGATAAGCCATAGCCACAGGTATGTAGAAACTGACATCATAGAATTGGTAATCTTACTAATGATTGTCTAAACACAGTGAGAATTGAGATGCTGTCTTTTCACAGAACTCTTTGGTCTTCTCTCTTTGCACTTGCTTAAACCAAAGTCAGGTACAGTACTCTTATGGTGCTGAAGACATTACTTTATTCATAGAGCTAAGAACTAGAAGATGAGTGCTACTTGCTCACTTCACTACCGAAGACTGAAATTTAGTAGTTTGTCACTGAAGGTAACAGAAAATCCATAAAGAAGTCAAGCAAAAAATAGGCAACTGCAGAATGGTAGGGGCAAGAGTAATCCTTTAACACTGAAATAATGGATTTTTCCTTTTGATATTTTGCGTAGCATCAATACTGCATCTGTGTTTTGGCATTTCCAACTAACCCCTCAAGTTTTCTTTCTTTTTCCATTAGTCCCCAGCTTCTAGAGAAGAGGTACGAGATGATAAAACCACCATAAAATGTGAGACGTCACCACCTTCTTCACCTCGATCTTTGCGTTTGGACAGAGTCCAAAAAGGAGCTTTGCATACAGTGAGCCATGAAGATATCAGGGACATAAGAAAGTAAGTAGCTGTGAATAAGTCAGACCTACCAGTAATTTAGTATTCCAAATGATCAGAATAAACCCCTAAGACTGCAGATACAGGATTTTAGTCTAGATATTGAAGTGTTTCTCAAAAGTGAAGAGAGTGAACACATAAATGGGTGATTATGTTGCATGAACAGTAAGAACGCAGATTTTGTTAATGTTTGGAAGTGGCTTTATGTGAAGAATTTTTCTGGTACTCAAGGTCTGCATTAAGTTTGCTTTGGAAATGCAAGATCTACAATTCCAGTTGTCTTTCATAGACTGCAATTTAGCAATAAATTCAGAAGTAAGTTGCAAAATTACCATCATTTTGATTGACAGATGTTCTTTTCAAAGTGCCTAAGTATCTGGGACAGAGTCCACTCCAGTATTTAAAACTTCCATCATCTGCCTCAGTTTGTCAGGAGCTTGTGTTGTCAACTTTGGTCTCTCTGAATTGCACTTTAACCACTTTAATTCTTATTTTTAAAAAAAGTAACAGTTGAATTGTAGTTCTGTGCAATAGTATATAAATTCTGTACCCCTTCCGTTCTTGCATGATTTAGTTGTTTCTACTGTTTTTTCTATTAAATAACATGTATTTTAGTAAATACGTTTCTTTTCATGACTCATTAAAAGGCGGAATTAGATGTCATTAGTGAGTTACTGAGCTTTTGTTAGCTTGCACAGGAACCTGAACTTGTCTGTCACTATGTTATGCCAGTGTATTTGTTATATATGTGCTTCTCCATGACTCCTTTTTTTGTAAAGTTCAACAGGCTCGCAAGATGGGCAAACAAGCAATCCTAGTAGCAGTAATAGTAGCCAAGATTCACTTCATAAAGCCCCCAAAAAGAAGGGGATCAAATCCTCTATTGGCCGCTTGTTTGGCAAGAAAGAAAAGGGACGACCTGGACAAACAAGCAAGGAATCATTAGGACAAGGTTGGTTTGGGTTTTGGTTTTTTGGTTTGTTTTTTTTTTTTCCTTTTGCACAGTGAGAGCGTGAAAGACTGAATTCTATGATGTATGTATCAGTTTGTGCATATTTTTGACATTATTTTGATGCTGATATACAGCATTTTTTTGAATTTGTGGCTCTAAATTTTCTGGTATGTCCTTTTATGAGTGTAGGATGCAAGTTCAGCTAGCCAGGTATGGCTGTCTTTTAGTCTTATGTAGTCAGGTTATTGAACCTTATTGATCTGTTATGGCTCGTTTTGTGAAACAAAAGTGTCAACTGTATCTCAGAAGTGAAACAAGCTTCTGTTCGTATTGACACCAACAGTCTTGTCATTTTGGACCCAAAGGAACTGCCTTGAAACGAATCCAGCTAGCTTAGTAAATGCTGTGGTTACCTTTCTCTCTTGCATAATTCTTTGCAAAAAGCAACACCCTTGATGTTGACACCGACCATTAGTGATATGGGAACATTGAAAATTCATCTTACAGGTGGTGGTAACATGAGGTTCTCGGTGTGACTCCAGCTGGTTTTAAACAGCACCTATTTGAGTCCATACCAATCTGGTTTTCCTATTTGTGTACACCGTTTGGGGTATTAATTCAACTAGTAAATGGAGTGATAAATGGGCTTGGAGGTTTGGCTTTGTACATTTCTGAGCAGTAATATTACAAAGGATTAAATACTTCTGTTCAGGAAATCAGTGGTGATTTTTGAGTTATAACTGGCCAAAACTGAGAAGGTAACCAGACTGGGGTTTTTTGGTTTTGTTTTTGTTATTTTTTTTGTAGTTGGCATGGCAGAAGCAGATGGTTCCTCTCAGGATGCATTAGGTCTCAGCAAGCTTGGAGGTCAGGCAGAAAAAAACAGGAAAATGCAGAAAAAGTAAGTTATTGAATATTTTTAATCCTTTGTTGTTAAGGTATTGCTTTATTTAAAAATGTTTTGTTTTCTTCTTTTGTTTGTTTCTGTTTTCAGGTATTTTTGCCAAATATGGTTCATAAGTCTCTAGAATTTTTTTTAAAAATATTTTTATTTATTTATTATTTTTTATTATTTTTAGTAGTAACAGTTTGTGGTAAGTTTGAAACTAATTTCAGTGCTGAAAGCTTATTGTTGAAATGCTGTAATAAACAAACTTGGAGATAAAAGTGGACTCTTACGAAACCTTCCCCCAACTTTGTTATGTTTAATACCTCCTTTGGGTTTAATTCATTTGGAGGACTTCCCAAAGTTGTCTTCGGCTGTTGTTTGCTCCAGAGTGTGAAAGAGTTGCCAGAGTGAAAGCGTGAGGTGTTCTGTACAGACATCTTTCTGTATGCATTTGCTGGTGCTTCTCTAGCAGGTGACTCTGAAAGTCTTTCCTTGTGTTGCAGCTGCTAGCTGCTGCTCTATTCACTAATTTTTTCACTTCTGTTTAAGGTTGTCTTGACATTTTCTCTCATATATTTTAACAGCTGAAATCTTTTTTTCCTTACGCCAAATACCCCTGATTTCCTCCTTTTTTAATAAATTGTGACTATTTCCTTTTCTTAAGGTACCTTTTAGATATGTAGTTACATTTTCCTGGCCATTAGAATTTTTTCAGTGTGTGTCCAAGAAAATCTTTAGTTTAATGTTCACCTTTGAGTATTGCATGCTTTGTTTTTCCCCAGACTTGGAAGAGGTGAAGCAAAGACTTTAGTCATAGGTGAAAAATAGATATTGCTACTAGTAGAAATCTTGACTTGATGCTTATATGGTAATACAGGAAACACTAAAATTTATAGAAGTAGGATCAGGCATTCTTTGCATTTTTCCACCCAAAGCTGAGCCATATACTTTGCCCTTTTATTGCTTCTGTTCTGTTCGGCTGTCTTTACTCTGTGGCAGAAAAGCTGACCGAGATCAGACATGTTTTGCTTTTTTACTTGCCTTCTGAAGACAGAATAGTGAATGTTGAAAAGAAAATGTGCTGATTTTCTGTTTGCGAGAGATTTCTTGCAGCACCTAAGTTCTATTAACAAATAAGAGTAATGCCTGGTGACTGCTAATGAAAACCAGCAGTGTGTTGGTTTGAAAAGTCAGAATGGAATGTGGTTTTGTTTGTATAACAGAACACTCAGCTGTTTTTCTTCAGACTGTTACACTGAAGGCAATCATACGTTATTATGATCTGGTATTTTCCCTTTTCTACAGAGCTTTAAAGCCGTACCACATCTTGCTTGAATAAGTAGTTTTAATCTGGTCATATCGAAATAGTGGTGGGCCTGTTCTTTGAACAATACAGATCTTTCTCAATACCAGCAACAAATTTCATTCTCGAGTAAAACAATCTATACTGTCTTGCTTTAATAAATGCAAAAAAAGAAATGCAGATAAATCATGACTTCTCTTTGTAAACATTCTGCCTTTCAGAAATTTCCTGGTATTGCTTAGAAGTATGCCTCATGGCTGCACGTTGTTGGTTGCTTAAAATGCAAGTGGCGATATTAGACAAATGAAATCTTTTAGTTTGGAATTGCCTTGCCTAGCTATTAAATATGAGCGTGTGCTTATTCACAGGAAGGTGTCTGTGATGTAGATATTTCAGTCAAAGTGGGTATGAAACAAGACTGTGTTGATGAAGATAGGTATGATAATATTTCGTTTTATTACTTTTACTGCTGAGAGCAGCAGCAGGGCCCTTTGAACTTCCACGAGAAGCAAATGTTACCATTTAAAAAATCCCAGCAAGACATTTTAATCCAGCTCTTTCAGAACCCTGACAGGTATTCTGAAAGAGGAAGCAGTATTATCACAGTGTCAGAGATCCCTTGCTGCCTTCTCGAGGTGCTCGTTATCAAAACGAGAAAGTAGTAAAGCTGCTCAGAATTGATTTTCACTTTGATATTGGAGGAGGGTGGGGTTAAAGTAAATTCTGGAGGCTGACTGTTCACTTGTAAAATCCTGTATTCAGCAAAAAGAATTCCAGTTACCTGAATGCTTGGAACAATGACAGCTATTTCTATTTATAGTTGTCTCTAATCCCTGTTTGCTTGCTTATCTTTCTGATTTCTGCATGGATGCACAAAAACAGTCTGAGGGTAGTATTCAATGTCTTTACTAACAAAAACCTATTTATAGGTACAGGATTAAATTACAGTATACATTATTTGTCTGGTTTTTTTATGCTTTTGAGTTCAGTTTAATCCTAGTTTTATATTTTTCCTTCATTGTTTTATTTTCCTTTTGTTTACCATTTGATGTGGTAGTGCAAAATCAGGGTAAGTTTATATTTATTTTATTAGGATTGTTGTGAAATTACGATAAATCTCATTTGGATTTTTTAGCAATATATTAAAAGCTCTAACTTTTTTCAAAAAAACGTCTAATTACGAGAGGAGATACGAGATTCAAAATAATTTATTGTGAAAATGTGTTGCTGAAATAAATCCAGTGCTGTCTGGTTCAGTGTGAATGCTAGTTCAATGTCTTGTCTTGATTTGCATGGTGTGAATTTTCATAATGGAAATAGTAAACCCTACTTAGATGGAATTAGTTTTGTAATTTGTGTTTTGAAAGTTGTTTAGCAATAGTAGATAATTGTGGCAATAAATTTCCAAGGTAGACATATTTTTGTAAAACCATTGCTCTTTGTTTACTAAACTTAAGTTGGTTTTAGTGTTTGGTTCATGCCGTTTGTCCTTTGTGAGCTGTACTGTTGACAGTGTTTGCCACAACTGTATTTGTGCTTTTCTGTGTACAACACAACAAACTTAATACTGTATTAATCAGAAAGGAAGACAACCCTAAATTTAGGATAACTTTCCTTAAAAAAAGTGATACACAAGAAGTTGACTACATACCTGAAATCAATATAGAATAAGGATATTAACTTTCCACTGATGCTGTGCCTATTTTCATCTCATGTTTTACTATTGTTGCCTCTGACTTTTTACACCTTGCAACTCTGTCATTTCCATCAGTATCACTCTCTTCACCACTTTCCATATGGTGTTTTCTCTACTCTCAGCTTCTTCCAAATCAGTTATGCTCTGTCCCATCCAAGGAATCTGGAATACAGCATTCCCCTTTGGCTGTGAGTTCTGGATTTATCCATTCCCATGCTGTCTTAATCCAGTGACAAAGTGATGTTGCTCCGGGCTGCTTTATTTTCCTTGTGGGCTCAGCATATGCTTGCCTGCCCAGAGCCATTCTAAATACAAATACTTTAAATGGTCTTTAAAGGGCCTTGTGTGTTCACTACTACATCAAGCACCTGCAGTTTTGACATCATTTCTCATCCCATATGACCACAATTTCTTTGTTCTCCGCAGCTGGTGTTAGATGCCTTTTGGATGTGTATAACAGCAAGCGTTCCCCTCGTGCAGCAGCACATTTGGTGTCCTGTTCCAAGTGATGTTCAGCCAACTTTTTATTAAGTCCGTAGACATCTATCCCTTGGTTTTGTCACCTAAGAGTTATTCCAGTAGCCAGCTACTCCTTTGACATTCTTACATCCTTCGCGGTGCCAGCTTTATACAGTCTCTTAACACTGCTCCAACATTTATTCTTTTTTCTCACAAAGATATGAGGTTGGATTTTGCACTCACTTCTAAAATGGTGCAATCGGATGGCCTGTGAAACTAAACTGGCCCGTCAGTTGTGATCTTTACATAATCTGATCATGTATTGCTGGAATGCAGCGAGTTTCTTGGTGAAGCTGGAAGGGAATTGTTGGAAAAGTGAAGTTCCCTGTTACAGGAAAAAAAAACCACATTGATGCGTAATTTGCAGATAAAACAGCAGCAGCCTTTGAATTGTCCTGTGAGATGTTTTGTGCCTGTGCTTTGTCTGGAGCTTTCAGTGTAATGATTTCCTGTGCAAGCAAGTTGCCGTCTCTTCTTGCATATGAACAAATTCCGTAATTAATTTTCTACTTCATGGATATGTTCCTCTTTGGATCCATTGAATAATTTCTGTATAAAGTTATCTCATAAACACCTTTGTTTCATTTGTTTCTATTTCTACATGTTTGCCTCCATCACATAACCCTTCCTTCCAGCCACGCAATAGTTTTCTGCATACAATACCACCATGAGTTTGAAGTTTGCATCATAATCTCTCCTTACACTTTTGATACATGCCCTGTACTGCTCATCTCTGAATGATTTGCTGTTTCAGGGAGTACCCAGGGAGACTTATAAAACTACCAGAAGTGACGCTGCAATTGTCTGAACTCCATAGGATACCCAGGCAGCTTTAGAAGCTGGGGCAGAGGCCGTGATTACGTGCTCTCCTGGGGTCATCCTACTCAAACCTGAGGCTGCTTTGGGCATGTCTCTGCTCTGTCATCACTAGCGGCCTCCCTCACTGCACGGTCATGTTACCACAACCACTGAAAAGGATCACAAAGACACCAATTTGGAAGTTAAGCTACTTGGAAAAAACATTGTGTTCCTTTCTGGCAAATACAGTATTAAGCATTTTATTCTGTTTTTACCAAGCAGTATTATTTTAATATCTTCCTCATTTATTTTTCTCTTTTTTTAACTTTTAAACAAAAAAGTGAAGCAAAACTGAATGTGTTCAGGGCTAGTGATTTGTGGGCTTAATGCAATGTGTTCTGCGATAGCAGGATGATAGCTGATCCTTTATTCCTCATTTAGAAATACATGTATATTTTTGAAGTGTACAAATATGTATTAGCTTTTACAGTCTTCTCTTCTTCGCTAGTGAAATCTAGCTATTGAGCTGCTAACTGCTGACCGCTATTTCCGCCTTAATTGTTGGGTCTTAAAATGGGTACGTTAGAATGGTTATTTGTAACCAGTTATCTGGCAGTTCCTTCCTTCCCTTTTTTCGTTCCTAGGCAGCACATTTAATTAGGATAAAGTATTGGGAGGTTCTTGTTAGAGCAATAGGAATTTACTGACGTGCAGGTGGAGAAGTAGTATCTATGGGTAATAGAGTTGCTAGTATATTTATGACAGCATTGATGATTTTTTGCATTTAATTATCTACCAATATAACAGGAGTATCCTAGGTATGCTGGCATGTCTAAAGGAGCTGAGTACTGCATAGCTGGTTTGCACTAGTAGCAAAGCAAGCTACCAGTCGGTCAGTAACCCCTTTTTAAGATGTCCCGTGTGATAGTTTTTGAACTTTTAAATACATCATCATCTTAGATCTATTCAACGATACATTTCTGAAGGCAGGGAGATTTTATTTGTTTTAAATTGTGAGCAAATGATAAATACATACATAGGATCTTGAATCTGTAGTATTGCTGCTTATCTTCTTAAATCTACACTTGCAGGCATGAATAAAAAGCATAAAACAGTAAAAACTGTTCAGTTTGGTGAAGTTGTTTTTTCTAAGCTTTTGAGGAGAGTGAGTGGAGACTTTAACCATACCCAACTAACTTTCAAAGGCAGCTTAAATATGCTTTTTTTCAGGCTTTATCCATTTTTTTTCAGTCAGACGTATCCAGGCAACATTGCATGCTTATACCCGCAACACTAGTTTTTGTCTCTTGGTTTATCAGACATTTTTGGCAGCTATTTATAGGGATCTTGTGAGCTTCCATTGTTTCGGTAAGCTGAATTGTCAATATTAAACCTCAGTCTCTTCTGTTTCAGAGTAACAAAGGAAATGGTGTCGTCGTAGGAGGTGAAAGCTGAGTTTCAGTACCCAGCCTTTTAGAATATAATTGCCAAAGCGTGGCACTCTGAATATAATGCTTGTCTGAAGCTGTGCCTGAAATTCTGACAGGCTCACTGTTGCAGACTGAAATTCACCAATTAAAGGGTTACCATCCCAGTTCCCAGCCTCGACAGCCTGATGCACAGTACCGTTTCGATGGCATGGGTATCTGGTGTACTCATACATTTCCACAGGTCTCAAATCCACACGTTGAGGGAAAATAACTACTTTGGTTCAGTCTAATTTGCTGACCGGAAAGCTGCAGCAGTTGAGAATCTGACCGACACATAAGTCTGACATCTCCGCTTTGTGTTGGCAGTGTTGGTTAGAGTGTCAGTAGCAGGTTCAGACACACATTCCCGAAAGGCGCGATCCAGCGTCTCTGCCACTCTGCCATTTCCTGTCCAGTTCAGTTCATGTCACCGCATAGTCCTTGCACGTGTGCTGCGGCTGCCTTAGTGGCTATATCATACAAGGCTGAGAAAGGAAGAAAGTTAATTATTGGAATATAGCTTCTCGTTGTTATTAATAACTATTTCTGTAATTGTAGGCATGAGCTGCTAGAGGAAGCCAGAAGACAAGGTTTGCCTTTTGCACAGTGGGACGGGCCCACTGTGGTCGTGTGGCTGGAGGTAAGTGGTCCCTCCAGAATAAATAAAAACTAAAAACCTCAATGTAGAGAAATTTTAAAGAATTTAAGGTTTTGGAGCCAGGAATGTTTTCCAGATCCTGCTTACCTCCTTTTTTGTGTTTCAGCTGTGGGTTGGGATGCCAGCCTGGTATGTGGCTGCTTGCCGAGCCAATGTGAAAAGCGGTGCTATCATGTCAGCCTTGTCTGATACAGAAATACAGCGTGAAATTGGAATTAGTAATCCTCTGCACAGACTGAAGCTGAGGCTGGCCATTCAAGAAATCATGTCGCTAACAAGTCCATCTGCGCCTCCCACCTCAAGGACGGTAAGGAAAGTGTTCCAGCGTTAAATACCTTTTAGAACCATTAGAAGTTTCAAAAATTCTACTATAATCATGTAACTGAAGGGATTTGAACTTCAAATAAGAATTTCTGGAAACATTAAATCATAGAGGAACATGTTATTTAAATATAGGACGTTGCTTCATTTCATCGAAATTAAATGAA